TATACATATATATATATATATCTATATTGCTTATCTGGAATTTCGAAATGCTGAGCGTGTTTTCATTCAATTTTATGGCTAGCAAATCGCTTGCGACAGCAAAGTGTGCTATTCCGATGACTAATCTGAGAGAGAGAGAGGGAGAGAGAGAGAGAGAGAGACAGAGAGGGTGCAACTGTAAATTGAATTATAGCATCCGATATATATACTAAGACAGTTGTTTCTCTATTGTTTTCTACAGCTTGAGCTTGAGAGCCCTCAAAGCATGTGTTCAGCTGTTTTCTCCTATTTTTTTATTTTTGTATATTTTCTTTTTTTGCCTGCTGAAATAGCAACTGGAAGTTAAATATTAATACACAAGTTAACAACGTTTTGGAATGTCTTGTAAACAAGAAGTAGAAAACGCTTGGCCAAAGGGTTCTACCAGCTAATCTAGTCTAAAGATAAGACTTCGCTTTGTACCGATAAGTGTCGATCAATTTCGATAATTGTCGATCAATGTCAATGATTGACGAAAGGTGTCGATCAGTATACGTACAGTTTATGTATTTCTATTCCAGTCTTCTTTTGTGGAGCGTACTTGAGGGGATTGTTCAAATTAAAATAACATTTATGCCGATTAATGTATGTCAATGTCAATCAATGTCGATAAGCATCGATCAGTGTCGATCACGTACAGTTTCTAAAGCTCTGTTCCAGTCTAAAGTGAGGTGAAGAGTTAAATTTAGAATAATACTTGTGTCTTCTAAAATTTCAGGGTCGTACAGCTTCTCTCTTATGGAAACAACTTAAAAGTTTTCCACTGAGATATCATTTCTCGTCATTGAGATATCAGCTACCCAAAAGCATTGTCAGGAAATGTAAGTGGGGAATGAGAGGAGCTGTGAGATAGCTGATTAGTAGATTGAATAGACAATTTAATTTATCTCAAATACTATTATATTATACTATTATAACGTATTGATGATGCAGGATCTCGACTGCTTAGCTGATTTTACTTTTTCCTACAGCCTGAAAGCCTGACATGAGAACGCCTGAACTCTCGAATTCAGCTCAGAATTTAAGGTCTTTAGAAAAGTATAGCTCGTTTACTAGACCCTGTTGTACTGTGTGTTTTTTTTTTTTTTTTTTTTTTTTTTTTTTTTTTTTTTTTTTTTTTTTTTTTTTTTTTTTTTTAAAGAATTTTTTGTTCTCGGATATTAAGTCAGTTTTTAGTTGCTGTTCGTGTAAATATTTGTTGCACTTGCTTTACAGTTGCTATAACTATTCACTAGCTAATGAGCTTGTTTTTAAGGAATTTACTGTTCTCTGATATTATTTCAGTCCTAACTTGTTTTTCGTATATATATAATATTCGTATGTGAAACTTCCTTAATAGGAATTCATATATTTTTCCATGCTCTGAATTTGTTTTTGTCGCTAATGTATTACTCATAATATTTAAAAATGGATTTTCGGAGATCGCAATCTGAAATTTTTCCGGTTATCAGCTAACCAACATTCAACCCACACTCAGCATGATTCATAATAGAAAAGAATTAATTGTAAACTAAATATTTGCTATTGACTTTTTTTTTTTTAAATTTTTTTTATGGCATCTGATAGCCAAACGACAATTATACCGGATGTCGTTATAGAGAGCTATAATTGTTGTATTATATATATTAGTCAGAATGCACTTTCTATGGGCCAAATTGTTGTTGTCCTATGCATTCAGCAGATAAGACAAACTTATCTTTTATCAGCCTATCAATCATAAAAGAGATGTCTCACTATTTGAAACATTCTAGAGCTTTATAGAAGTGCTTCTGCAATAGTTATAGGAAATATACTCAATTATGGCTATAAAATGAAGTTATTGTGAATCACATTTGCGATAACTGTATTTTATTTATTAACACGATCCCAAAGGGTAGAGAAATTATTTTTACTACGAATTCCGTCTTGGATTGCGCTTTACTCTGGATTTAATTATGAACCTATATTTACTACGAATTATGTCATTCTTATATTTTACTCCGAGGCCAAATAGGCCTGTTCTTAATTCTTCCGTCGTCTTATGCAATCCACTCCGAATTATGCCCACTTTACTTGCCTGTTCATGCGTATAATTGACTCCGAATTATGCTGTCGACATATGCATACCACTCCCAAATATGATCTTTATAATAAAGGAGTTATCTTACTCTTTCCGTGGACGTGTGCATTTTACTCCGAAAATTGCCTTTTACTCCAAGTTATATCATATTATTATGATATAGAGGGTTAGGAATTCTGATTTAACTCGGAGTAAAGTGAATTTTTCGGATGGACATCTCAACATATTCTACTCCAAGCTGCGTCGTCTCTGTAGACTTTATTCCGCATCATTTCGCTGCCATATCTCTATGGATTCCATCATTTATCTCATTGTAAGGGATTGACCACTTCAAGAGTTTAATTTGTTTTCTTGGCGTATTTTCTGTATTTCATATAGCTTTCACTGGAACTGGGAAATGTGACAACAGACTACGATGGCTCCGGCGAGACCTCCTCGAAGGGTAAGCATACCGAGTGGGAAGAACCAAATGAGCAGATCACTAATTTTCACATTACTCTTTGTTTTCGTTCTATTCTATGTCATTGGCGCAGAGACTTTCAAGCGCAGCGTGGCACGTGGTATGTGTAGGAGAGGATGAGTACTCAAAAATTCACGGGTTGCTAATTGATGTACGATCGAATCTGTTTCAGCTGCCATTCGGAACGCGACGCCAGCGAGCTGCTCGCCACAGCCGACGATCGTGGAGCTGAAGCCACTGACGGAGCAGGGCGGGGAGCAGACGGCCTCGAATGTCTACTATTTGCCGGCGTGCACGCGCATCAATCGCTGCAACGGATGCTGCGGCTCCACGCTGATCTCGTGCCAGCCGACGGAGACGGAGACGCTGCAGCTGCGCGTGCGCAAGGTGGAGCGCTTCGGGGCGAGCAGCAAGCGGGGCTATGCCATTGTCAATGTGGAGCAGCATTTGGCATGCAAATGCGATTGCCGCATCAAGGCCGAGGACTGCAATGCGTACCAGGAGTACCGCAAGGATCTCTGCCGCTGCGAGTGCCAGAACACAGATGCGCGCGACAAGTGCCTGGAGCAATCGGATCACAAGTATTGGGACGACGCCAACTGCACCTGCGCGTGCCGCTACAACCAGAGCTGCACTACCGGCACCGTCTTCGACGAGGCCCAATGCAAATGCACCGATGTGAGTGACGACCGCGACATGTTACCAACTTGATAGATTAGATTGGCCCAAATTGTTAGCCTGGGCTTGGTTTCTGGTTCCGGTTCCGGTTCGGGTTCGGTTTGTGGGTTATAGGTTCTATTTAAGCACTGACTGGTTGATGGTTTACTGGTTAGTCGATGTCTTTAAGTCCGAATCTGTATACATGTATAT